AAGTATTGAATTATGCAATTGGTTTGGTAGTACTTTTTTTCTCTTATTCATATATTGTATGTTATGTCATATATGTAACACACATATACACATACAAGTGTGCGCGAAAAATACATTTATACGTATATATAATAACTTGCATCGTCGCCTTTATGACGCGACTTCGCGATAACTGTAATGGCCACTCTCGCAACGCGCAGCTCCATTACAGTCACATTATTTCACAGTTGATATCCACCCTTCTTTTAAAAAGCGCACCTTGACTCGGCAACACAAATCCCCTCGCGGGTGATAAAGATCTATAATGTGCTATTTTTGTGCGTGAATCTTTTTATCACTGCACTTTTAGTCTCTTCAAGGAATCATTTATTGTTAGATTATGTAAATAATCAGGCCCGGCAACTAGTGTGGAATTGTGGAGCACACCACACTCAAAATTTAGCTTAGTGTGGAAATCTATCTTTTTAAAATGTTGTGTGCGGATGCCAAACGATATTTGTGATGGCAATACAACTACGCGCATAGCAGAGATTCAACTTTTAGAAAACGTTTATACTGGTCGTAATCATATGCCGTATGCCGTTATCTGTAAGAATCGACTAAGACATTCTTCTTTTACAATTGAATGAGAGGGAAATATTTGAATGTGATTAATTTCTTATAAATTGGCATACGCGCGGTTATGATCAATATAAATGATCCCTTAGAGTTGCCAAAATTTCTGTAACAGTAACCTTAAGACATGAACTTATGAGAATGTTCTTCGAAAAAATCCATTTTCTTTAGATTTTTTTGAAACTTACAGAAAAAGTTTGTTTTAATGTCCTGTGAACATATATGCTTTAAAACTTAATACTCGGAGTAGGATTAAAAATTGAGATATTCCAAAGTTGAAGCGTTTAAAATATATGTACATATATACATACTCGTATATATACATACATACATACATACACACACACACATATATATATATATATATATATATATATATATATATATACATACATACATACATAGAATCCCTACCTAAAGCTTATTTCAAAGTGGTTTTTTTATTCACTGTAAAAAAGTTTTTCTTAACAATTTTTTTAAATGGAATATAAAACTTAATATCATAAGGAATAATATGAAATTTGTCTGAAAGTAATATTTATCCTTAATATTGCTTTAGGTCCACGTAATTTAATGGAAATGGAAATAACAGTAAACTTATCCATAACCTCGTAATAAGGTGAATTTCAACCGGTTGAAACTCATCTTATGAATAAGTTTACTGCTATTTCTATTTCCGTTAGAGTACATAAATCTAAAGTAGTATTCTGATTGGCTTATCGGCTTAAGTTTACGTTTTACAGGCCTAATTTCCACCGAGGGTTTAAATCGGATCAGAATGTAAGAACTAACCAACTACAATTGAGCATTCCTCTGTCGTTCGACTGTAACAGGGGAATATTCGACTATAGTTGGTTGCTTTTTACATGATCCGAACCCTCGGTGAAAACCAGTCTACTACTGTTGCGGAATTTTGTGTGCAGCAGTCCTTAAGGCCATTGCACGTAAAAGTATTAATCGTAAAAGTATTAATCGTAGTCGTAAAACCATAAAAAGCGATAAATTGTTTGGCTACGAGGTAAGCGATAAGTCACGTGACTGTTTTCCGATTGGTTGGTCCCGAGTAAACACAAATACTTCTCAAACTCGTAACTCATACATAATCTTAATTTTTTGGATCGTAACAGTGATATCAAAAGTTACGTGAATTTGCGGAGAATGTTATCAAATTTTTCGTCCCATTTTACCTATAGTAGTTACATAACAGTAATATGATTTAAATATAAAACGGCGACAGGATTGATATATAATAATTATGTATTGAGATAAAATGCATATATAACAATTACGCCATGCAAAATTTGTCACTGTGACATGTGTCCCAAATGGGTGAAATTGTTATTTATTTGTTACTTATTGACATATTTATTGACTAAATTTTTTTGATTTGAAGAAGTTTTTTGGATATTTCTTTCTGTTAGAATTAAAAAAATAATTTATGTAATTTTGCAACTCTTTTTTTTAATGAAAGAAATATATTTTTTATATGTAACAAAAAATTTTCTTAAATAAAATATTTTTTTATGTAATAAAAAGATTACGATTATGTTTTAACAAAAAAAAAATAATTTTTTTGTTATTATTTACTTTTCTTCGATACTGACAGTCCATCTCCATTCTCAGTCCGTGTTGATCAGCGAGTGTACATTATAATCGACACACAATGTCCGTCTTACAGTAAGTCAAGTGGTCGAGTTCATGTTATTAGCCTTGAGATAGGTTCGAATAGTTTCATACGATATATCTAAACCTTTCTGCTTCAATTTTGCTTGTCCTTGACGCAATGTTAAGCAAGGATTCCGCGAAAACAGATTCACTATTTTTTTATCGTCTTTGTTTGTTCACTTTGTATATCGAGCCACGTTCCGGTAAATCATTCCGGTAAATCGACATTTTTTTGCCACATTATATCGCTGCATTCACTTCTGTACGAATGATTTCGACTTTTTCATATATTTAGCAGCCGCTAATTGTGACATTTTTGGACCTTTCGGGTGAGTGCAGAGAAACACAACGTGAGGAACACGCTTCAGCGTGTGCGTATTTGGTGGTACTCAGTGGCGCTTAATGTGATTCTCTTAAGAAAGTTCAATGACTACTGAATCTTCCTTGAAATGTGTGAAACATATTTGACTGTCCAATTATATGTGAATAATGTCGAGTTCTACATCAAGACTCACTCGAGCTGTTATTATAAGAAATATGCAGATGATAACTAATTTTGTACAGCGATCTTTGTGATAAGTAAATGTCTGAAGAGGGCTTAATCCGGTAGTCGAAACTAGTAATGTTTTACATTTGAATTTAAAATGTTTTCTTTATTTTTATTTTTCTTTATTTGTTAATTTATTCTTTTTAATTGTGTTACAATTTAAAATTGTGTTTGACTCTTATTTTGCCCTTTATTTATTGTTATTTATTTTGTATATAATATGAAGAGTCCTTCTATCTATTAAATATTATTTACTTTTGTTTTTCCAGTTCAATTTATTATTTACTGTTTTGCATACCTATATTCTTGTCTTCTTAACTTACAATTAATTATTAAAAAACGCATCGCATAGCCGCCAAGATTTGAACCTACGATCCCTAGAACAATAGCCTAATACACTTACGCTGAGCTAATCGCACGCTTGTGATCGAGACATTGCCAATGTTACGAGTACTTATACCTCCTATTGTAACCATTTCTTATATTAATTTCATGCCTCTGCTGACTATTTAATATTATTAATATTTGAAGGGATTACATGGAAACGAAATAATACGCTGGTATTTATTCACTTAATTAGGAAATGATAATGATCTATACATGTTAAATACTTATTATTTACATTTTTGTATCTATAAAGGAAAAATCTACACGATAATTATATATATTATTATCTAATTGCATAAAAATAATTAATTGATAGCATAATAGAAGCAAACTATAATATATAGAACCTAACTTATCTTTTGGATAGACTTTATTTGCTAGCGATACTAATTATTTTCATTATTTCACGAATAATGAGAAATAATTTGCAATAGTACTTATTGATCAATCACTTTCTTATCAATTTATCATATTTGTTGTCCCTAAATATGTTTATATTAGGTGTACAAAAAAGTTCTGAGCTTTAGATTTGATACAACCGAAATAACAATTTAAATTTTATATATCTTCCCGCCCTTTTGGGGTTTTAAAACAGTAACATTTAACCTCCTGAAATGCGATACGGTTTGGCGTTTGATGCACATAACCTCAAAAATCAGTAGTGTTCACGATGGCAATTACAAAAGAGCATATTCGATTTTCCATCCACTTCGCGTTTCATCTGAAGAAAAATGCTGCTGAAGCCACTGAAATGATTTGTGCTGCATATGGAGAGAACGCTGTAAGTCATGCAACATGCAAAAGGTGGTATCAAAAGTTTCGCCAAGGAGATTTCAGTCTTAAAGATGAATCGCGTGCTGGACGCCCTGAAAAGATTGAAACGGACGAATTGCAAGCACTGCTGGATATAAACTCTGCGCAAACTGAAAAGGAGCTTGCAGAACAGCTTGGCGTTACGCAGCAAGCCATTTCCGTACGATTACATACGATGGGAAAGGAATTTTACAAAAAAAAGCTCAGAACTTTTTTGTACACCTAATATAACAAAGTCACTTCTCTCAAAGTGCAAAACCAAATATAAAGAAATATGCTCACTGCTAAAATACTGAAAAAATAACGTATAATTTATGGAATTATGTTACATCATAGTGATGTAATTTTTTAGAAAAATATAATCTCATAATTTTAGTGATATAACTGTTATAGACTACAATATACATTTCTGCAGATGTAACCAAACATGTATTATTTACACCTTTTTCCATTATGGCTTAGTGATGTAAATGTATTTTGTATTTATTATGTCTCATTCATAGAATGATATATGTAACTTAATTATGTTTAATTTACATAATTATGTTATGTGCTAAATATATAACAAAGACATGTAACAAAGACAAAATTATTATATTTGTATCAGGATATCTCGTTTACGCCATAAAGCTGTCTTGTTATAAAACAGAGATGTCTGAATAATGACAAAAAAATTACATAACAATGCTAAGTCATGTTTGCTGGGTCATAAGAAAAAGATGTTAATCGCAATCTTTTGACAGGACAAAAATTTGTGTCTATGATCATGGCTTTGAGGTTATGACGTTCATTCGTGTTGCTTCTGCGCAGAGAACACGACAATGTTCGGCCCCGACGCAATAGACAATCAATTTATCGCTTTTTACAGTGATTTATGATTACAACTACGACTTTTAGGTGCAACCTTTATCAACTGATAAGCCTGTCGCAAATGCATAACAGAGCATAAGCATAATATAAGATCTCTGGACCAATGAGCATCCGGCATAATGTCGCCACATTGACTTACGTAAGATGCTTATCTTAGTGAGAAATGATAATAGGTACGTTCAGCAATGTAAATCTGAGATGCGAGTTAGCAGAGATGCGTTCCGGACAACAACTTTTTGTCTAAAACCGTTCCGCTTATCAAGGTGTGACGTCATAACCGCATTCTGTCTTACAATTTCCAAATGCTCGGATGACACTTTTCATTGTGCTCGAGACTCCGACGAGAAATGTTTCGACGTAATGTAATAAAGCGCGATGATCAAATATATATAGAAATGCGTTGTAGGTTAGATTAGGTTTTTATTCCATCAGTTTTATATATTTAAATATGTAAACAAAAAATATATATTAAAAGTTTTGTATTTTTAGGTAGAATTTATTAAAATGGAGAATTTAAAGGCAGCTTGTTTAACTGTGATTAGCTATTTAAGCAAATTAAATAAAATATTCTTTGATTGAAGCACATTGACAGTAATGGTGTGTGTGTGTGTGTGTGTGTGTGTGTGTGCGTGTGTGCGTGTGTGTGTGTGCGTGCGTGCGTGTGTGTGTGTGTGTGTATGTGTGTGTATGTGTGTGTGTGTGGTGTGATGAAGATAGCGATGAAAAAATGGAATTATATTTGCACAGATTAAAAGTCCGCATTAATAATCCATTAGTAACCAAGTCTTATCGCATTGAAAATTTTATCGAAAGAGTTGTCGATATATCTACTGCTTCTGAATTTCAAAGTCACTTCAGAATAATCGTAATAAGTTTTGAATGGCTCCTAAATCAAACAGCTTCTCTATTAGAAAGTGCTTGAGCAGTTGGATCAAACTAGAGATCCGAAAATACAATTACTCTCCTTTTTGTGGTTATTAGCAACACCAGACAGTTTTCGGTAACTAAACAAGTTATAAAAATTCAAAATATTTATTTTGTAATTTTACATTTTTGTTATTTTGTAGATCAGTCAGTTGTCGTTTTAATTTAGGAAAGTCTACATTATCTGCTATTTTTATGCGGGTTGTAACTGCTTTAAATGAAATTTCTTCAGAAATAATATTTTGGCCAAATAGAGAGGATCGCCAACGCATAGTGCTATCTTTTCAAACTTCTACTGGGATAGAAGGTACAATCGGTGCTATTGATGGAACGTATATTGCTATCAAGGCTCCAAGTGAAAATCCGGATGTCTACATTAATAGAAAATGTTTTCATGCCATAACTCTGCAACTAATATGCGATGATAAATTGTCACTTATAGATTGTTTTATGGGTTATCCTAGCAGAGTATCAGATATAAGGATTTTTCGAAATTCGCCAATATACGAAGATGTCACGAATAATCGAAATAATTATTTTTATAAAAACTAATTTATTGGAGATAAGGCATATCCCGTTTTGCCGTGGTGCATACCTTCCTACATCAAGAAAAGAAATGTTACAGAAAAGCAAAAACATTTCAATATTTGCTACGCCAAGTCTCGCCAAAGAGTTGAACGTTGTATTGCTCTTTTATTTGAAAGATTTAGACGACTGAAAAACCTCGATATAAATCGAATGGATTTCAACAATAATTGCATGCGTGTTACATATGCTTAAAAAACGAAGAAAATGAAGAAATACAAAACATGTTTATAAATAAGGGTCTTCAGGCAATGATGAATAATGCTGACAATGTTAATTACAAAGCAGCTATTTACGACGATATAAATGCAGAATTGGGAAGAGGTCACGCATTACGGGACAGGATCACAGAAAATTTATTTCGATAAATCACAAATTTCATAAATTATTGGTTTTATTTTATAACCATTCCAACAGCGTCACTTTTTACATTTACAGTTTATTTTTAATTTTTTTCAAAAATAGTTTAATTTAAAAGCATTATTTGTCGCAAAAAATACATTGGAAAATTATATAACATGTAATAAATATAATATACGTAGGCTGCTGGAAAAGTTTCTGCAAACAATATGAAAAAAAACATGTAAAATTCGATAAATGGTTTTATTGTTTTTCGAAGTATTCGCCTTTAAGATCGACATTTTTGCATACGCTCGAACCAATTTTCGAAGCATTTTTTCCACTCTAAGGCTGTAACCTCAGAAATCAGTGTACGAAATGTTTCAACAGCTGCTTCAGGCGATTCAAATCACCACGTATCTTATTTTTAATGTTTGGGAACAAAAAGAAGTCATTAGGTGATAAATCAGGTGAATACGGACAATGAGTTATCAATTCGACATTATTATGAATAAAAAAATCAACGGTTTGACGGCTGGCGTTGTCATGATGAAGGATAATACGACGATTTCGGTTTGTTCTACGCAATTCATTTATGACTTCTGGCAAACAAATTGTTGTATACCAATCAGTATTTACAGTCCTTCGATCCTCTAAAGCCACGGTTGTCACATGTCCGGTATAACCGAAGAAACAAGCAATCATTTGCTTGACAGCACTGCGTGAACGAACTTTTGTTTGTTTCGGTTCATTTTGAAATACCAAAACAGTGGATTGTTATTTATTTTCGGGCTCATAAGAATAGATCCATGTTTCGTCCCCAGTAACGATGTTGTAGACCAAATTTGACCGACCTCGGTTGAATTTCTTGAGCATTTCTTTGCTCCATTTAACATGAGCCTGTTTTTGAGCTTCAGTCAAATTATGTGGGATCCAACGACTGCAAAGTTTCCGTACGCTCAAGTGATCATGCAAAATCGTATG